GTGTTCCTTTCCCTCACAATCCCTTTCCAAGGACAAGCTTCCTACTTGGACCGGCTCTTCCTCATACCCTTTGTTTCCTTTGTCTCTGGGCTTTATGCCTCATATGAGGGACTGTTCCGTGTGTTCTGTGTCCCTTTCCTCTTAACTTCAGTCCGCACGATACTCTCCAGATCCACCCATGTAGCAGCAAATTGCATAACTTCATCTTTTCTTATGGCCAGCTAGTAATATTCCATTGCATACATATGTAGCAAAATTTCTTTGTCTTTTTTTTGTTTGGGGGCCACACCCAGTGGTGCTCAGGGGACCATGTGCAGTGCCAGGGATTGGACCTGGTCAGCAGTGTGCAAGGCAAAATCTCTCTTCACTGTACTATCAATCTCATCCCATGAACCATAGCTTCTTTATCCAGTCTTCTGTTCTTGGGCACTTGGGTTGTTTCTAGATTTTGGCGATTGTGAATAGCGCTACAATGAATTCAGAAGTGCAAATGTCTTTTCTACATTGTGTTTTGGGGGCCTTGATGTATATTCCAAGGAGTGGACTTGCTAACTGGTATGGAAACTCAATTTCTACTTTTTTTTGAAGTGTCTATATTGAAAACAAGTAGATTTTACATTAAATGTCCTAGGAGGTCAACCTAGAGAAAGTGTTTGATTCTTTTTATTTATTTATTTATTTATTTATTTATGCCTTTTGGGTCACACCCGGTGATAGACAGGGGTTACTCCTGGCTCTGCACTCAGGAATTACTCCTGGTGGTGCTCAGGGGACCATATGGGATGCTGGGAATTGAACCTGGGTGGGCCACAACTAAGTGCAAGGCAAATGCCCTACCCATTGTGCTACTGCTCCAGTCCCTGAAAGTGTTTGATTCTAATAAACAATTGAGATGATTTTGATTGCCATCAAGAGTACATAGAGTGGGCCGGAGAGACGTTACAAGGGTTATGGTGCTTGCCTTGCAAGCTCTCCACAAGTGTTAGGATTCTAGCACTGTATATGATCCATCCTGAATGATCCCTGAACACAACTGGGTGTGAGTCCCTCTACCAACCCCCCAAATACACAAGGTGAGGGGGGTACAAAAATTCCTTAAAATGAACAAACATTATATGACTGAAACCCAATTGTGAGCAACATTATAATTTTATCAATGTCATTCAATTAAAATTTATATATATTTATATTAGCACACAAGGCTCAACCTGAAACAACATGTTAGTGATCTCTTATGCAGGGGCTTAATGGCTCCAAGATGAGATACAAAATTTTCACACACTTTGCTCTAAGGAAAACTTTCTAGATCATTTTTAGTTGATTATTCATAACAAGCAATACAAAATAAATTATTTAGGACCTGCCTTTGGGGCAGGCTTGGGTGGTAGTGGGAAAATTTGAAATAATGGTGGTGGGAAGGTATGATGGTAGTGGGATTGGAGTTGAAGTATTGAATGTAATAAATTATTGTGAACAATTTATAAAAATTAAAAAAATATTTTTTAAATGAGCAAATGCAAATTAGATCAGAGTTGCTGGCAGTCTCATCCATTACTATCAAGGCTTTTTTTTTAAATGTAGGAGTACTGCTATTTACTCAGCCATTGATTAGCTGATTGAATTGTGCATGAACTCCACCTTACCTTTTTTTTCATTTTTTATAATTTTATTTATTGAATCACCGTGAGAGCAGTTACAAAGCTTTTGGGTCTAAGTCTCAGTCATACAGTGAAACACCCGTACCTTCACCAATGCCCATTCTTCACCCCCAACAACCCCAGTATACCCCATCCCACACCCTCCCCCTACCTGTGGGGCAGATGATTTCCACATTACTCTCTCTCTGCTTTGATCACATTCAATATTTTGACACCAGACCCACCATTATTATTTGAGATTTTACCCCAACACTCAGATCTGCTGAAAAGGCAACAGTAGATAATTTGTTTTCTATCGCTGGTTATGAATAACATATGATGTGGCTTGGCTACAGTAGTGGCTGCGCGATTTTGAAATTCCTAAATTTTAACACTTAAATCTGGAGGGATTTCTGCCAAAACCTGCTGGGTTCTGAGATTTGCTCCTGAGTCTCTGGGATCATGGTCGTTAAGCAGCTTGATCAGGAGCCAGAAAGGCCATTCGTGGGCAATGACTTGGGGTCTCGTTGGGGTGGGGAGGACAGGACTGGCTCCACCCCGATCCTGTGAGGCTCTGCATGTCTCGTCACTGCAGGCCCAAACCTGACTGTCCAATGACCTCTGGAGGATAATGGCCACCGAGCCGCCAGGCGGAATCAGGCGGAGGGACAGCACCCTTCCCCCCTGGAGTGGCCTGGCGACAGTTATCTACCGCGTGGTCCGGATGCATTTCTGCCAAAAACCGCTGGGTTTCGAGATTTGTTTCTGAGTCTCTGGGATCATGGCCATTAAGCAGCTTGATCAGGAGCTAGAGAGGTCATTTGTGGGCGATGTCTTGGGCTCTCGTTGGGGTGGGGAAGAAAGGACCGGCTCCACCTTCATCCCATGAGGCCCAACATGTCTCGTCACTGCGGGCCCAAGCCTGACTATCCAATGGCCTCTGGAGGATGGCAGCCATGGAGCCACCAACGGGGAACAGACAGAGGGACAGCACCCTTTCCCCCCTGGGGTGGCCTGGCGACAGTAACCTACTGCGGGGGCCGGACACATTTCTGCCAAAAGCCACTGGGTTTTGAGATTTGTTTCTGAGTCTCTGGGATTGTGGCCATTAAGCAGCTTGATCAGGAGCCAGAGAGGCCATTCGCAGGTGATGACTTGGGGTCTCGTTGGGGTGGGGAGGACAGGACTGGCTCCACCCCCATCCCATGAGGCCCTGCGTGTCTTGTCACTGTGGGCCCAAACCTGACTGTCCACTGGCCTCTGAAAGATGGCGGCCACTGGGCCACCGGGGGGAACAGTCCAAGGCACAAAACCTATTCCCACCTGGGTTGGCCCAGCACCGGTAACATACTGCAGGGACCGGACGCATTTCTGCCAAAAGCCGCTGGGTTGGGAGATTTGTTTCTGAGTCTCTGGGATCATGGCCATTAAGCAGTTCAATCAGGAACTAGAGAGGCCATGCCTCCAATTATATAGCTGAGCCGAAGGTGGTTTGTGGGTGCGTTTCCCACATAACTAACTTTTGGCCATTTTCTTTCTTGGTAAACTTTGCCCCCCCCAAGTTTTTGGGGTCTGGCCAAAAACACAGCAGCAATTTGGGGGTATCTGGAAGTCTGAAGGCACCATCAGGCTGCTCATGCACTTGCCTCACAGGTACATATTGACCTGCTGGCGGCACCATACCCCCCCCTTTTTTTTTTAAATCTTTTTGGGCCACATCCACTGATGCTCAGGGATTGATCACTGCTGGCAGTGCTGGGGAACCTTCTGGGATTTGGAGAACAAAAAACCCGAGACTGGCATGGGCCAGACAAGTACCTTACCCACTGTACTATACCTCTCCAGCTTCTAGTTCCATTAGTCTTTTGTTGAATTACATGAGGAAAAAAAAATCAAGATTTTACGTCAACATCATGGTCACAGTCCTCCCGTTGTTCATCGATTTGCTCGAGTGGGCCCAGTAACGTCTCCATCATGACTTGTAGTTACTGTGTTTGGCATATTGAATATGTCATGGGTAACTTGCCAGGCTCTGCCGTGCAGGCAAGATACTCTCGGTAGCTCTCCAGCTCTCCGAGAGGAGCGGAGGAATCGAACTCCGGTCGGCCATGTTGGCCGCTTGTATGGCAAACGTCAACATCAAAATTAGAAAAAGAATTTTAAAATTCAATAAGAGGGATTTGTGTCTTTTGCACTACTCATGTTTCATATTAAAATTACAACAGGGGACCAAGCTCACCAAGAAATTAACCTGCTAATGTTTCAAACTCAATTTGGCTCAAGAAGTAAGTGAAACCTCTGGAAAAGTGTCTGCTATGGATGCAGACTGGGGTGGTGGGGAGGGGAGGAGGAAGTGAGAAGGAAACTGGGACATTGTGGGAGGGAAACTGGGGACACTGGTGGTGGGAAATGTACATTGGTGAAGGGAAGGTGTTAGAACATTATATAACTGAAACCCAACCATGAACAATTTTGTAACTGTGTATCTCGTTGTGATTCAATAAAAAAAAATTTTTTTAATTTTAAGAAATGCACAAAAAAAGAAAAAGAACATTTAAAGGAGAACATAGAGCTTTATCCTAAGAAAAAGATTTAGGTTAGAAAATATTATACATTGGGGCTGGAGCGATAGCACAGCAGGTAGGGCGTTTGCCTTGCACGCGGCTGACCCGGGTTCGATTCCCAGCATCCCATATGGGCCCCCAAGCATTGCCAGGAGAAATTCCTGAGTGCAAAGCCAAGAGCAACCCTGTGCATCACCGAATGTGACCCAAAAAGCAAAAAAAAAAAAAAATATATATATATATATGTACACATACTGCTTAGGTATCTACGTTAATAAAATATTAGATTGCAATAAAAATAATTGTGGATATAAAAAGATTGCAACAAAAATATTTGAAGATTATGATGGCAATTAAAAAAACCAAAAAGCATGGAAAAGTTAAAAGTGTATGCCTCTGTGGAAAGAGGAAGTGAATGACTTTCATTATTAGTAACACAAAACTTTGAACTCGCATCTGTGGCGCTTGAAAGCAAAATTTTTAAAGACAATAATTAAGAAATAATAAACGGGACGGGAGGGGGGTGTGGGGGAGAAGGGCGGGTTACGTGAATCTCGTTGCCATGGCAACCATTAGGGGCGCGGCGGCTCTTTTGTTCCTCTGCGCCTTTCTCCCTCTCTGGCGTCGAGCTCCAGGGACGGGTAGGGGGCGGAGCCTGAGCCTAGACCCCGCCCCTGCAGGAAGATTGACAGCATTTCCGTAGCGCCTTTTGCCACTTAAAATTTCACCCCGCTTTCCACCCTCGCGGGCGGCGCCAACCGGGAGCCGCTCGCGGGCCGAGGCCCCGCCCCTGGCGGCGAGCGTGTGGCGTCACTTCCGGCTTCTCTTCCCTCCGGTCCGGGCACGAGCTGTGAGGGAATCGGCGTGCGTGTCGAGCTCGGCGGAACTATGGTAAGCGCCCCAGTGCCCGCCTGTCAGAGGCTCGGTCGTGGCGCGCCCCCCGGGTTCTCTCGCCGGTGCCCCACGGCGCGGTGGCCGCCCTGGGTCGGTCCCCGGGGCCGCCGCACATGGCGCGGGCCGCGGCGTGTGGCCTGTGGCGCCCGCCGGTGGAGCCTCCAGGCGAGGGTGGCCGCGGACTCGGGGTGCGGACCACGTCACGGGGGAGGGCGCGGCGGCGACCCACCGGCGTCACCCTCGCCCGCTGCGGGCTCCCGGCGTCGGGACTTAGCCCCCCGGGAAGAAATTTCTAGAGCTCGGGGCTGGGCGGCCACGCTGGGCCCGCCCTTTCCGGCGGGGCGTAGGGAGCGGGCGCGGGCGAAGATGGGAGCGGACCGCGACCCCCCGATCCCCACTCTATTCCCTCCCCCCACCCCGGCCTCCCCGCCCGCGCTGGCCTAAAGGGCAGTTAGCCTGCCTGGACACCCCTCAGCAACCCCCTCCCCTAAACCCCGGTGCCGCCCGTCACTGACCGGCCGTCTGATGGGCTGCATCGGGGGTTGGGAAAGGGCCTTATGCTCTCCCGGCGCAGTTCCTAACCATCGCGGGGTGGGGGGTAGCGGGGACGAGCGCCCCGGCCGGTGCGTTCAACACTCCGGGTAACGTGGTTTTGCTCTCTCCAGGCGTCCCTCTCCCTGGCACCCGTTAACATCTTCAAGGCTGGAGCGGATGAAGAGAGAGCAGAGACAGCGCGCCTGGTGAGCCCTCCTCACTCATTCTCGCGGCTCAGCTGGGTGTAATGGGGTTAGAGCTGTCGTTGATTTGTTTTGACTGTTCCAATTTTTTTTTTTTTGCCCCAGTCTTCTTTCATTGGTGCCATTGCTATTGGAGACTTGGTGAAGAGCACTTTGGGACCCAAGGGCATGGTAAGGAGCACGGAGATTTTATGTTTTCAAACTGCTCTAGGGCCTGTTTGTGGAATTGTAGCTAATACATGTCTGAGTGCTTTTCAAGTCTTTGAAACGGAACTGTACAGATTAGATATGCACACACTCCTCTTAACTGTGAGAGGATCCCTAAGGGCTGTAGTGTTTGATACTTTTGTGGTGCTCTACCATTGAGCCACATTTCTGCCTCCAGGGCTATTCTTTTTCGGCCACTGTGCCCAATTGTCTTCCTCTCTATATCCCTATAAGGAAGTTTGCATTTTACATATTACATGTCATACAGGCTGGAGTGATAGCACAGCGGGTAGGGTGTTTGTCTTGCAAGCGGCCAACATGGACAACCCGAGTTTGGTTCCTCCGCTGCTTCTCAGAGAGCTCGGCAAGCTAGTGAGAGTATCTCGCCCTCAGGGCAAATCCTGGCAAGGTCCCCATGACATATTTGATATGCCAAACACAGTAACAATTGTCACAATGGAGACGTTACTGGGCCTGTTCGAGGTGACAGTGACACATCATACACATTTTTCATTATGACATTGTTTTATTTGATGCTGTTTATAGGTACGTTTTCTCTGACTGGCTTTTAAAAACTATATGCGTGTGATGCAGCAAACAGTACTTAGGGGCTCCCATAAGAAGCATGTACTCTCTGTACTGAGCTATCTATCTGTCCAGCCCAGAGATCTCTTTATGTATGTGTTATGTGCACCCGTGTGCCCATACTGATGATTTACCCAAACCGAGGACCTCATACATGAAAGGCATGTGTCCTGAACCATATTTTGCTCTTTATTTTTGGTTATTATAACTATCTTTTTAGTCATGTTTCTCTTTTTTTTTAGGGGTCACTGCTAAAGTTTGTGGGTTATTTACATGAAAAAATTTTGAATTGACACATTAGTAATATATTAGTAATGAGTGTACACCAAGATGAACTTTTTTATTTTTGGGTCACACCCAGTGGTGCTCATGGTACCAGTACAGCCTGGGATTGAACCTGAGACTCGTATATGCTATAAAGCCTTTGCTGTGCTAGAACAAACTTCTCTTAAACTAGATATATTCCTTCTTAGGACAAAATTCTGTTAAGCAGTGGACGAGATGCCTCTCTTATGGTGACCAATGATGGTGCAACAATTCTGAAAAACATTGGTATTGACAATCCAGCAGCTAAAGTTCTAGTTGGTGAGTCTGAAGTTTGAAAACATTTTTAATAGGTTGTGTTGACAGTCTTTTGATTTGTCAAAAATTGTCATTGTTAGACTACAGTTTCTGGAATATAATTTATTTTGTTTTTATTTGGTTATTTGGGCCATACCTGGCAGCACTAAGGGTTTACTCCTGGTTCTGCACTCAAGGATCACTCCTACTGGTGCTTGGGGACCCCGTGTGCCAGAGATAAAAACTGGGTCGGTCACACACAAAGCAAGCACCGTACTGGCTGTACTATCTCTGTGGCTCTATATTATTTGTGATTAAACTATTGCACTTCAGACCAAATGTTTTGAAGGCTGTCAGAATTCTTCTTGGAGGAAACAAATGAGATTTAGATTAGAATTTGGGTATGTTTGGAAAATTAGCAACAGAAAGCTAATTTTAAAAGCAGAATTAAATGTATACAAGTTATTAACTTTATTCTAGATATGTCAAGAGTTCAGGATGATGAAGTTGGTGATGGCACAACCTCTGTCACTGTTCTAGCCGCAGAATTACTGAGGGTATGTCAGCAACTTTAACATTGTTTCATTTGCTTTTCACCGTGGTTTTGAGTATTTAAAGTGATCGTCTTTTCTGTGTCTTTACTGTTAATGAATCTTTTCCACTCTGTTAATAGGAAGCAGAAACTTTAATTGCAAGAAAGATTCATCCACAGACCATCATTTCAGGTTGGAGAGAAGCCACCAAGGCAGCACGAAAGGCTCTGTTGGCCTCTGCAGTTGATCATGGGTTGGTAAACCTGAACACTGCCATTTTAGGCATTCGTTAGCTTTTCAAATGTTCATTGCAGAAAGTCTAGTGTTTTCAGTCTTCTTTGAACCATGGCCACTTCCAGTTTTGCTTCCTTCCCTGTCCTACTATCTGCTCCCCTAATCTTATGTAATGATCCCCATTTTAGTAGTTTTCATCTGTGCCTGGTTGGAACCTTGGAATATCCCAGAGAACCACAAGGATTATATACGTCCTGAAGTTGAAAAATACTGGCTTAGAGACAAGGGAATGGCATGCAAAACTTGAGCCTGCTGCCACAACCTACCCAACAACAAATCTTAAATTATTCTCTAGAGATAGTCATTAAAATTGTAGTTTCCAGCTTTTCGCCTATACTGTAATATATGTAAATGACACAGTAAATAGTGTCATTGTGTAGAAGGGATTTTTTTTTTTTTTGGCTTTTTGGGTCACACCTGAGGATGCACAGGGATTACTCTTGGCTCTGCACTCAAGAGTTACTCCTGGCGGTGCTCAGGGGACCATATGGGATGCTGGGAATTGAACCCAGGTCTGCTGCGTGCAAGGCAAACACCCTACCTGCTGTGCTATCTCTCCAGCCCCAGGGATTTTTTTTATTTAAGAGACATATTTTTGGGTGCCAGTTTTTTCTGCGTGATAGGTGTTATATAGGGGTGTGCTCAGTTATATGATTGCATGTAATTTCAGATTTTTTCTTTGACAACTTCTAGGACTTTTTTTTTCCCTCTCCCATTTATATTAAGTGATGATTTGGGGTCTCACATAATGTTTATCTGTGGTGTGCATATTGCAACTTTTTAAATGTAACACACGAGCTAAAAGTTTTGAGATCCTGGAGCTGGAGAGATAGTATAGTGAGTGCGGTGTTTGCCTTGCATGTGGCGGCCCAGCTTTGATCCCTGGCATCTTATATGGACCCCTAGCACCACCAGGAATAATCCCTGAGCATTGATTGCTAGGTGTGGCCCCAGAACAACAACAAAAGCCCGGCAATTTTGAGATGCTTAATTGTTGGCTCCAAAAATATGAGTGCTTTAAAGGCATTTTTATTTGCAAATTACCTTCCAAATATTTGAGTTCTAAGGTTTAAACCCAGGTCCTTATGCGTCACTACCATTTAGCAATATTCCAGCCCCAAATTCACTAATTTATACTCCTACTAGCTGTATTACAATACTCTTTGAAAACTTCGGGGTTTTTATTTTATTTTTTTTTGGGAAATAGTTTTCCACTTTGGTGGGGAAAAATTAACCTAATTGTATTTCTTGGTGGTATGTTTAAGGTGGGGCTGGAGCGATAGCACAGCAGTAGGGCGTTTGCCTTGCAAGTGGCCAACATGGCCAACCCGAGTTTGATTCCTCCACCCCTTCCGGAGAGCCCGGCAAGCTACCGAGAGTATCTCACCCGCACGGCAGAGCCTGGCAAGCTACCTGTGACGTATTTGATATGCCAAACACAGGAACAACAAGTCTCATGATGGAGACGTTACTGGGCCCGCTCGAGCAAATCGATGAACAACGGGAGGACAGTGACAGATGTTTAAGGGAAGAGGAGGGAATTTTGGGTCATACCCCACAGTGCTTAGTTGCTACTCCTGGCTCTGCTGAGAAGGGTTCATCTGTAGTTTTTCAGGGATCAAACTAAGACTTTCTGGGCAAAGTCTTTTTGTTCGGGGGACCATATGGGATGCTGGGAATCAACTGCATGCAAGGCAAACGCCCTACCTGCTATGCTATCGTTCCAGTCCCTCCTCTTGTTTATTATTGAGAAATTCCTTTCATGTGACTGGCTTGGGTAAAGTTTTCTACTGACAAATGTGTCTCTGAGTAAAGTAGGGTTGATATTTTTTGAGAAACTTAAAAAGAACAAGTATGATGAGGGTTTTTTTTTTTCTTTTGGTTTCTTTTTTTTTAGTTCTGATGAAGTTAAATTTCGCCAAGATTTAATGAACATTGCTGGAACAACATTATCCTCAAAACTTCTTACGCACCACAAAGATCACTTTACAAAGTTAGCTGTGGAAGCTGTTCTCAGACTGAAAGGCTCTGGGAATCTGGAGGCAATTCATGTCATCAAGAAGCTTGGAGGAAGTCTGGCAGATTCCTACTTAGATGAAGGTATGTATCAGAGATGGGAAAATAACATTTGATTAGATGTTGAATATTAAATACTGTCATTAGCCAGAACTCTATGAAAACAATGAAAATTGCAAATTTTTTGGTAGTTTGCCACTTTGGTGGGGTACAAGTTATTGGAACCATTTTTGTCATTTTTATTTGTTTGTCTTTGCTAAAGCTACTGTAGTTGTTTGTCTTGAAATCAGCTATTCTCAGATAGCATTTCATTTTTTTCATATGTTCTCCAAGAACAGTATAGGTTAAGTCAAACTTAGTTGGCAGGTGGTGGTTTTTTTTTTTTTTGGTCACACCCAGCGATGCTCAAAAGTTACTCTTGGCTCTGCACCCGGGAATCACTCCTGGTGGTACTTGGGGAAACTAGATGTTGGGGGACTAGATGCTGAAGACAAGATGCTGAAAACTAGATGCTGAAGTCTAGACACTGAGAACTAGACGTTGAGAACTAGAAAGTCGATGATGAGACATTCAAGACAAGAAGGAGAACCAGATGACGACAATGACTGGAAGTAGAGGACTGTGAGACCCCGATGAGACAAAGAAGAGGATAACAGAGGAGAGGACTTTGAGGTCCACAAGGAGACTAGGGTGATGGAGCTCTGATGACGGGGACTGTGACCAAAATGATGAGTACAATTGTGCCATAAAGGGAGAGATCAGATGACGCTGGGGAGGAGAGAGATAAACGGACTGGGGCCCGGTTTCTGTTTCGCCATTTCCCCATATGGAGTGCTGGGGATCGAACCCGGGTCGGCTGTGTGCAAGGCAAACGCCCTACCCGCTGTGCTATCACTCTGGCCCCTTGGGGGGGGGGCAGGTGTTGAGGATTTATTTTTAAGTGTTCTCAGAGTGCTAAATGAATTTCAGCAACAGCTCTTTCCTTGACAGCATTTGAAAAAGTGTACTGTATTTGAAAAACAGTAAGGGTAGTGTTCATTGTGAATTTTCCTAAGTATCTCTACATTGCGTTTTTATAAAATGGCTGTTCAAAAGTGTGGAGAAGGGAAAAGGAGTAGTTGTACTTCTAGTTTTTGCATTACCAGTGATTTGTAGATTTGTAGTTAGGTTTTGTTGCTTGTCATTCTGTTTTAGGGGAGTAACGATTGTGAAAAATCCAGGGTTTTTTTTCGGGGGGGTAATTTTGGGGTACATCTGGAAGTACTCTGGACTTCAGAAGTACTTCCGAACTTCTAGTACTCAGCATCTTGTCTTCAGGACTCCGGGCCATATGGGGTGTTGGGAATCGAACCCGGGTTGGCCGAGTACAAGGCAAACACCCTACCCGCTGTGCTATTGCTCCAGCCTCTACTCTTACCTGCTCAGGGATCACTCCGGTGGGCTTGGGATCATATGGGGTGCCAGGGATTGAACCCAGTGGAAATATTGATGATTGAATTTATATGCGAGGGGTTGGTAGCATTTCTGAGGACTGGTGAGATGGAAAGATAATTAAAACAAGGATATGGTCACCATTCTTGAATGTCTGCTCTATGCTAGGCATTTTAATAGAAATTTTATTTATTTCATATAATGCTGACCTAGTGGTTCAGACTTAGGTTTAGTGGAAAAGGGCAGAAAACCCAAGCTGGTAGTGATTTTGTAAGATAGGTCATATTTCCATTTAAAAGAATTGGGAAAGGCAGTGTTGTAGGTAGGGTTCAAGTCAACAGGATCTGGTAAGTACCAATTCTGTCACACTATTTATGGATAAATAGCTATTGTTGAGTAATAAGGTTTACATATGTAGCCTATAGGCAGGTACTTGAATGGGGATTGGTTTTGTCTAACTTGTTTGTAACTTTTTTACTTTGTTGTTAACCTGTTTTTCAAAAAGTTAAGGGGCCAGGGTGATAGTACAGCAGGTAGAGCGTTTGCCTTGCATGTGGTGGGCCCAGGTTCGATCTCTGGCATCCCATATGAACACCTTCAGGAGTAATTCCTGGGTGCAGATCCAGGAATAACCCCAGAGTATTGCCAGGTGTGACATAAAAAGCCAAAAAAAAAAATTCAGTAATAAGCATTCTGTGTGTGTGTGTGTCTGAATCTTGGAATATCCACAGCTTATTTTCTCTTTTGTGGGCTATTGAAAGCAGACTGCACTAGTGTTGGGTTCTCTGAGCTTGGAGAACTGGACTTTGAAAAAAGAATTAGATAAAGCAGACCTCTAAAGATACCTTGTAGATACAATCTTATCTTTATGTTACAGGCTTTCTGTTGGATAAAAAAATTGGAGTAAATCAACCAAAGCGAATTGAAAATGCTAAAATTCTCATTGCAAATACTGGTATGGATACAGACAAAATAAAGGTATGTTGAGTATATTTTTTGCAGTTTGGTTGCTAGCTGCTATAAGGTCAGGGAATTGGATTCACTAAAAAGCTTAGAATATTGTGTGTCTTATATAAGCACAAACATACTCTTAGCTTTTTAATTTTATTTTAATTTATTTTTTTTTTTTGCGTTTTGGGTCACACCTGGTGATGCTCAGGGGTCACTCCTGGCTTTGCACTCAGAAATTACCCCTGCAGTGCTCAGGGGGCATATGGGATGCTGGGACTCGAACCCAGGTTGGCTGTGTGCAAGGCAAATGCCCTACCCACTGTGCTATTGCTCCAGCCCCTACTCTTTTTTGCTGTGGTTGGGTTTGTTGGGCCACACCTGGCCCTGCATTCAGGGCTTACTCTTGGCACTGTTCATGGGACCATATCTATTACAAGGGATCAAATTGGGAACAGCTGCTTGCAGGGCAAGTGCCTTAACCCTCCCCTTCTTCCCACGCTATCCAGCACCTACTCATGTACACTTCATATTTTTTTATATATATATACGTCTAGTGTGTGTGTGTGTATACACACACACAGATGGTTACATGTACTCTGAGAATGAAACTGATGCTGTTTTCATCCTGTTCTTTATTTCAGATATTTGGTTCCCGGGTAAGAGTTGATTCTACAGCTAAGGTTGCTGAAATTGAGCATGCAGAAAAGGAAAAAATGAAGGATAAAGTTGAACGTATTCTTAAGCATGGGATAAACTGCTTTATTAACAGGTCTGTGTGCTTAGCTAATATATATATATATATATATATATATATATAAAATGCTAGTTGATGTATGAGAACTTTTTTGTAGATATATAGGTATACTGCTTTTTTGAGTCACACCTAGTGATGCTCAGAACTTGCTCTGGGCTCTGTACTCAGGAATTACTCTTGGAGGTGCTAGGGGGATCATATAGGATGCCAGGAATTGAACCTGGGTTGGCTGCTTGCCAGGCACTGTTCTGTTGCTCTGGTCCAACTTTTTTTGTTCTTGTTTTTAATCATTAGGACAGTGCTCAGGGGCTGTTGGGATCATGTTTTGGGAATAAAATCTTTGCTTTTTGCATGTAAAATGTTCAGTAGTTACTTCTAACTTTGCACTCAGGAATCACTTCTGATAGTGCTCAGTGGACCATATGGGCTACCAGAGATCAGATCTGGGTTTGCTGCTTGCAGGGCAGCTGCTCTACCTGCTGTACCATTATGGCTCTAGCCCTCTAAAATTAAAATTTTTTTGAATTTGGTAAATTAGGGTATACACATTCAACTGCTGGGCCCGCTCGAGCAAATTGATGAAGAACAGGAGGACAGTGACAGTCACACTCAACTGAGTACATTGGTGTTATTAGCAGTTGTGTTTTGTATTAACATCTATAGAAGTTTTTACTGTCTAAATTTAGCTGGAGGATTAGGATGGTAAAGTCTGATGTGGTTTTGATGCATTACTATTAAACTGTTCTCCAGAGTTTATGAATCCTGGTTATTTTATCAACAACAATAAAATAAGCCTGATTTTAATAATAGCATGTCTTATATATAATTTCACTAGTGTTATATGTAATTTCTACTGTGTAGGTAAGAAGTGGTATCTTTTGGGGAAGAGAGGGAGACTGCTTGAAAGGCTAGAGTGCATGCAGGTATTTATCTCAGGATGAAGGAATTACAGATGTCAGTGTTGGGGGCCATACAGTTTCTGGGGTTGAAACTGGGCCATTTGCTCCAGCACCTTGATCTATCTTTCCAGTGCAAGCCATGAATTTGATTCATGCATGGTCTACTGGTGATGTTCACTGCATGGTCCACTGGTAACATTGGCAGCAACCCTAAGCACCAGACCAGGAATGATAGCCCAAGTGCTGTCAGGTGTGATCCAAACATTTATATTAAGGAAAAGAGATTTGCATTTCTTTGGTGAATAAAAGATGTCCATTGTTTTGGATCTAATGCATTTTGTGAAGTGACATTGTTCTCTACTTTACAGGCAATTAATTTATAACTATCCTGAACAGCTTTTTGGTGCTGCTGGTGTTATGGCTATTGAGCATGCGGATTTTGCAGGTGTGGAACGTCTAGCTCTTGTGACAGGTATGGGAACAAGGAACTCATTTCTATTTTTCTCCTTTTTTGTTCCTGTAGTGTAAGTTCCACACTATGTTGCAGTGCACTATTAGGGTGCTGGGGATTCTAAACAGCGGTTCCACTAGGATAGTCTTAACTGTGCTGGGGATCACATTTGAGACTTTACTCTATTAATTGAGCCAACCTGAAGCCTGAAAAATGTCAGCAATTTCTGGGCCAGGGAGATAGTATAGTAGCTAAGGCTCTTCCTTTGTTCACAGCAGACCCAGATTCCATTCCTGGCATCTCATTTGATGGAATCTGGGTTTGATGTGTACAAGCAGACCATTGCCGGGAGTGATTCCTGAGTGATGAGCCAGGAATAACCCCTAAGCATTGCCAGGTGTGGCCCCCCTCTTCCAGAAAAAGGAGTGGCACTTTTAAATATTTATTGACAGATTAATTGCATGCTAATAATATGTGGAATCTTCGTTCATACTGTCATACAGTACAGAGACATCTCTCTAAGGGTCTTAAAACAGTCATTCTGAAGTGTGATAACACTTTGTATATTTACATTATTTTGTGTGTTTACATTGGGTGAGGGACTGGAGCGACAGCACAGCGGGTAGGATGTTTGCCTTACACTCGACAGACCCGGCCGACCCGAGTTCGATTCCTCCACCCCTCTTGGATAGCCCGGCAAGCTACTGAGAGTATCTTGCCTGCATGGCAAAGCCTGGCAAGCTAACCCATGATGTATTCAATATGCCAAACACAGTAACAAGAAGTCTCACAATGGAGACCTTACTGGGGTTGGTGTAAGGGCTACTGCCAGCCATGCTTGTCCTGGCTATAAGGGCCTGAAAGTTCAACACTTGGGCCTGGTAAGGGAGTCACCAGTGCTGCTTTTAAAGTTACTGTATATTTTTTTCATATGGGTAATGTGCCCAGAGGCTTTGTAAGGAAAGACCTTCTACCCTTATAAATACAATAGAAAGAAATCAACAGTAATCAAAAGTAATCCATTCTTTCAATTAAAAATAATGAGGTTTGAGAGAGACACATGTCAGAGATTAATACTCAGTCACTGTTTTTGTTGTTGTTGTTGTTTTGTTTTTGCAGGGAGGTGAGGGGTTGTGTTGTTGGGAGTAGGACTATATCCTTTGGTGATCGGGACTTATTCCTATTTCTTTGCTTTCGGGATCATTCTTGATGGACTCAGAAGCCATACATGGTGCTAAGGATCCAACCTGTGTCAGTTGCATGCAAGATAAACACCCTCCCGCTGTGCTTAAGTCCATCCTATCTTTCATATTGTTTTCCACATTTCATATTTTTAATTGAAAGAATGGATTACTTTTGATTACTGTTGATTTCTTTCTGTTGTATTTAGAAGGGTAGTAGGTCTTTTCTTACAAAGCCACTGGACAACTGTTCTGAACAAGGTCTGAATTAGGATTTTTTAGAAAAAATCTTGTTGTTTTACATATTTTTTGTTTTGGGCCACACCAGCAATGCTCAGGGATTACTCCTGGCAGTGCTTGGGGAACCGTGTGCTTGGGGTACCATATCGGATGCCAGGAATCAAACCTGTATTGGCTGCACGCATGGCAAGTGCCCTACCCATTGTGCTATGTCACCAACCCAGTTTTGCATATTTTTAGTGTCGAGTTATATTTTATGGCCTCATTTTAGTAATAATGATCACTTGAAAGCTTCCCTTTTCCCCCTTTTGTTGTGTTGAGCAGTGTTTGTACATTATGTTCATTGGAAGGTATTACCTAGCCCCAAGGGGGCTTCCAGACCTTGCTTGCGGTATGCTCCAAGCATTGTGATCAGCACATGTGAATTGGAGATCCAGCTTGTACACTCATACCTGCAAGGCAACCAACTTTGTAACTTTGGTATCTTCAGGTCCCCCCCTCCACCCCCCCCCACCAATACCAAATTTCATTGTGTAATTAACTGTAGATAAGAGAGGATCATCTACTTAAAACATTTTGTTCACTTTTTAAAAATGTTCTGAAAGCAATTAATGTAAACGGTTGAGTAATACGGTTGATAAATAGCTTTTTCCAGCAATCTTCAATAGAGGTATTGAAGATTATTGAAGATTGTTGATCATTTCTTCACCCCGATTGTGAAGAAATGACCTAAGGAAAAATTTACATTTAATATTAGGTAGGACTTTGAGGGTGGGGAGGCCTCACCTGGCCATTCTCAGGACTTACTCCTGTCTCTGCATTCAGGGATCACTCCAGGCAGTGCTTGGAATCCTATGTGGTGCCGGGGATTGAACTGGAGTTGGCCTCATGCAAGGCAGGTGTCCTGCCCTGCCTTCTGTACTCTTTGGCCCCAGGAATGGTTTATGAAGTCTTAGGAGAAGCTGAAATAAGTTATTCGATTTCTTGAAAGATTTTAAAAGGGAATAAAATGGCTAGAAAGTTGGTTTGGAGTCTGGCAGTGAGCATTGAGAGTAGGACTTGAGAGATAAAGCCACTAGTAATACTGAGTTTATTTAGGAACATAATTACTGGAAGAAATAAAAGTACAATAGGTTTCATCTCAGAGTAGCTTTTGTAGTCTATTTTTAGTCATTTGAGAAGCATAATCTTCATTGACTCAGACATTTTCGTGTTATAAAGTGTTCCAAAGTGAATTTACACGCTTTAATTAAAACTACTTAGCACCCAACACTGCAGTTTGTGTTTTGTGCCATCTGGCAGTTAATAGTGCTCTGTTTTGGTGGTGGGTGCCAAACCAAAGTGTAATTTGAAATACTGGCCACAAGAATTAGCTGTTATTAGTCTGCCTGAGGTGACACCCAAGTATAAGCCACTGGTGGTACTCTGATGTCAGCATGTTAAAAGCGACTGCATTCAGTGATAGCTTAAGAAAGAAACTTGACATTTTTTATAATTTTTGTTAATGCAACGCAAAGATACGACATAAGAAATTTAAAAAATAGCCGTTTGTGGATTATATTGATATTAAAGACTTGATACATGATTGCCACATATACAGAGAAGAATGTGATTGCACTGAGCACACATAGTGAAGTTGACCTTGCAGATCTTTAGCTCCTTTGCTGTCCAGGTGTACGGAATTGTTTCTTGCAAATGTCAAGTAATTTTTTCTAGGGTGGCAGAGAAGTACAGCAGGTAAGATGCTTGCTTGCATGCAGTTGACCCTGATTTGATCCCCAGCACCACATACAGTCCCTCAATACCCCTACCCCTACCCCTGTCGCTACACATATGCGCGCGTGCGTGCGCGCGCATACACACACACAGACCCACACTCAATATCTTTTAAGCAGATAGAGATAATTCTTTAAAAAAAAATATTTTGGGAATTTGTTACCTAATTGTTTATTATGTGTCTCATCCAGAACACAAAGCAGTCTGAGGAAATTGTAAACCATAACTAAAAGGAACTTAAGCTATAAAGATTGGTGATATAAATTAGCAAAGTTTGAAAGACCACGGCCTTCCTTACATGTTTATTGTAAAATACATAATACATAATGAAACATGCATAATAAAACATCACCCAGCAGGTTTATTGATCCAGAGGTATTTTTAATTTATGATGGTGGGAATCAAACAGTGTTGAGCTAGAGGAAAGGTTTTAAAATAAAAATTTAGGAACCAGAGAGTTAGTATAGTGAGTAAGGTTCTTGCCTTACATATAGTCAACCCGGGTTAGTTTCCCAGCATCTGGGACTCCCTAGCCCCACCAGGAATGATCCTGAGTGCAGGCAGAGCTAGGTGTTGCCCCTCGCCCCATGGAAACTCAATTTTTGTGAAAAATCATAGAAAATGCTATCATTTAGAGCGCTCTTTCTCAAAAGTGGGTGGTACACCATGTGTGGACTTCTAATAAGATTTTGGGGTGACGGTAGTAGTCCTGGGTGCAATTGTATTTCTGCTTTCTGTTTGCTTAATAAAGACAGATTTGCGGCCAGGGAGATTATACAATGAGCAGGGTACTTCATCTTGTACATGGCTGACCCAGTTTAGATTCACGGCGTATGGTCCTCTAAACACAGAACCAGGAGTGATTCATCCTTGAGCATAGAACCAGGAGCAAGCCCTGAGCACCTCTGAGCATTGCGCCCAAAAAAGAAAGAAAAGGGGGGGGGAGAAGAGAAGTTAGATTTCCAGGGTGGACATTGAGTAATTTTTCTAAAGGGTGTGTTAAACAACAACAAAAAAATGAGGTCCTTTTGTTTAGAATTTTATTATTTCTAAGTGGGGTAATAGAATTTTTCATTAGGGCATTTGTGGCAATTTAAATGGTCAATTTCTGCAAAGTATTTCAAGGTATACACTCTTTGTTAAAATATGGATTTTAGGTTGGTTTGTTAAATTCCTATTTGTGTTCATAGGTGGTGAAATTGCCTCTACTTTTGACCATCCAGAACTAGTGAAGCTTGGAAGTTGCAAGCTTATTGAGGAAGTCATGATTGGGGAAGACAAACTCATTCACTTTTCTGGGGTAGCTCTTGGTGAGTGATTATGTAGATCCTGAATTGGGTTCCTAAATCTTTGCTAGGTTCTATTCGTGTGAAATGGATTTACTACGTATTTACGTATTTACTAGAATATGTCTTACTCTTATGAAATTTGAAGCCATCCTCATATTAACTTTATCTTTATAAATAGTACATCTCCATAATATTTTCTAGAACAGTGATTTTCAGACTTTTCACATATGTCTGCAGATTGCTGTTTGAAAGTGATTAACTGTGAACTGTTATGAATTATGAATAGTAGTTCTTATTGAGGGAGTATGTAATAGTGGGAAATACACCAGCTTTCAGAACAATGTCATAACTCTTACCCTAGAATATAAACTTTTTAAAAATATAACTTGTTTAGAACACTTCACTGTGATATAAAACCTTTTTTTAAAAATTTTAGGTGAGGCTTGTACCATTGTTCTGCGTGGTGCTACTCAGCAAATTTTAGATGAAGCAGAAAGATCTTTGCATGATGCTCTCTGTGTTCTTGCCCAGACCGTGAAGGACACTAGAACGGTTTATGGTGGAGGTAAGCATTTGGAAAAAATGGAACTTTTTTTTCTTAGCCGTATTCAGAAAAGACTCTAAGGGAAAGGGGAAGGAAGAGGAAAGAATGCAGGGAAGCTCCCAGATTATGGGAAGGATCTCCTAATGACAGATTCCTTGAACTGAACATATTTTAATTCTTTTTTTTTTTTTTAATTTTGTTTGTTGAATCACCATGAGAGCAGTTACAAAGCTTTCGGGTTTAAGTCTTGGTCATACAATGATGAAATACCCATCCCTTCATCAGTGCACATTTTCCACCACCAGAAAACCCCAATATACCCCCCATCCAACATCCTCCCCCTGCCTGTGTGGCAGATGATTTTCACATTGCTCTCTCTACTTTAATTACATTATTTGGGATTTTACCCAACACTCAGATCTGCCAAAAAGGCAATATTAGATTATTTGTTTTCTACTGCTGATTATGAATAGCATATGATGTCACGCAGCCACAAGCGCCTGCATGATTTTGGAATTCTGAAATTTTAATGATTAAGTCTGGAGGAATTTCTGCCCAAAGCCATTGGGTTCTGAGATTTGTTTCTGAGTCTCTGGGATCATGGCTTAAGCAGCTTGTTGAAGTCTGCTTCAACAAGCTTAGCCAGAAGGCCCGGTCATGGGCAGAGACTCAGGGTCTTAATGGGGCAGAGGAGAAAAGGACTGGCCTCACTCCCATCCCATGAGACCCCGCGTGTCTCGTCACTGTGGGCCCCTAACTGGCTGTCCATTGGCCTCTGGAAGATGGCAGACCCCAAGCCTCCAGGGGGAACAGGTGGTAGGTCAGCACCTTTTTTCACCTGGGGTGGCCTGGGGCTGGTAAACTAATACAGAGTCTAGATGCATTTCTGCCAAAAGCTGCTGGGTTCTGAGATTTGTTTCTGAGTCTCTGGGATCATGACTTAAGTAGCTTGTTCAGTAGCCAGAGGGCCGGTGTGTGGGTGGCCAGTGTATTTTAATTCTTAATACAGCTTTTTTAAAAACTGGGTTTGTTGATTTTTTTTTTTTCTTTTTGAGTCACACCTAGTGATGCACAGAGATTACTCCTGGCTTTGCACTCAGGAATTACTTCTGACGGTGCTCAGGGGACCATATAGAGTGCTGGGAATTGAACCTGGGTTGGCTGCGTGCAAGGCAAACACTCTGCCTGCTGTGCTATCACTCCAGCCCCCGTTTATTTAATAGGAACTTTGAATGCCTTTGATCTTAATTTTTAAGTGCTTGATACCTTAAAGGGAGTCATTAATTCAGTGTCTTGGAGACAAAATGATGCCCTGTTGAATTTTAATTCTCCAGGCTGTTCTGAGATGCTGATGGCCCATGCTGTGACAGAGCTAGCCAATAAAACCCCAGGCAAAGAAGCTGTTGCAATGGAGTCTTACGCGAAAGCACTGAGAATGGTAAGTTAAAAATATGGTCTGAAAATAACTTTTATGTCTCTTGAATGTTTTTTAATAAATAAATTTTCCTGTCTTGGACAGGAAATGTGTATTTCCCTGGCTTTCAAGAAAAAGAACCGGTTCACCTATCATTTATTTATTTATTTATTTATTTTGCTTTTTGGGTCAACACCCAGCGATGCACAGGGGTTACTCCTGGTTCATGCACTCAGGAATTAATCCTTGCGGGGGACCATATGGGAATCTGGGAATCCAACCCGGCTGGGTCAGGCTGCAGGGCAAACGCCCTACCCGCTATACTATCTCATTCCAGCTCCCACCTATCAAATTCTTTCCTGATTATCTTCTTTATGAGATTTAATTTAAAGGAAGCAAGGTTTACATTCTTTCCACTTGTACAGCTTTTACTTTTATTTAAGACCACCTTCTCTGTACTCAGGAGCCTGGGGACCTCTCAGCAATAAGTAGTAGATTGGGAGGTGTGGGCATGGCAGCACTTTGAGATCACCACAGCCACACTTGGTGCTGGGAGATGGGGTGATGGCATAGGGTTGGGCATCAAAATCAGGGCCTCCCACTCGCATTCCACTACCTGTTTCCCATCTCCAGAATGTCATTTTTAGAAGCTATGCTATGTAAGAGGAAGTTGATTACTTACAAAATAGTTAACAGTTTGTCTTCTTTACTTCATAGTTGCCGACTATTATAGCCGACAATGCAGGCTATGATAGTGCAGATTTGGTGGCACAACTCCGAGCTGCCCATAGTGAAGGCAATACTACTGCTGGACTGGGTAAGAAGCTGGTGGGGGAACCCTACATTGTTAAAAGTAACTCTTTTCAAAGTTTGTTCTTTTTTAAGGGAAGTTCTCATAATAATCTTGCCTGTTAAAGACTTTTAATCTTTATTTTCTAGGAAAATGTTGTTTCAGAGTTTTATGTTTGTGGCTTTTTTGGCCACACCTGACTGTACTCAGGCTTATTCCTGACTCTGCTCAGGGATCATTCCTGGAGGTGCTTACAACTGTATATAGTACTGGGCATCCAACCTGGTTTGCCCTCGTTGCAAGTCAAGTGCCTTATCTACTGTGTATTTCTCCAGCCTGTATTATTAACACTGCCAAAAGTTTGTTTAAACTAGATTTGTGACTGATTTGTTTTATGAATATAGGATTTAAATGCGTAAGTAGTGTTTGTATTCTGAAATCGGTATGAATTTTATAATACCACCCATCACCGACACTAACACCTAAGCCCAGAGTAAATAGTAATCTTACAGTAAATGCTCTGAAATGTTCTTTGATTAGAAATCTCTGATAAATAAAGGTGGCATAAAAGGCAGATGTTCACATTAAGATATTCTACAACTTATCCAGGACATTGTAGGGCATCCTAAAAGGTAGACACTCCTGTCACTAGACAAGAGAGAGCTAGTGAATAAATTGCCTCTGAGCAGATGAAGTAGGATTCCTTTAAAAAGAAAGGTTGGGCAGATGATGCGTAAATTCTCTGCCCATATTTCAGAATCAGAATTCATGGTAATCAGTGAGGGGGAGGCCGTACTGCTCTCCTAGGGTACCTGGAACAAATTTAAGACGGGGGGGGGGGGGGGGCGGTATTAGTTTCAATTACATTTGGCAGCACTTTCTCTTTGTTTGCTTAAAGAAGGTCGATTTTGGGGGCCAGAGAGACAGAGAGAAAGACAGCAGTTACGGACCTTGTCTTTGCGGCCCACCTGTTTCAGTATCCAGCAACTCACATGGTTCCCCAGGCATCTTTGGGTGTGGCCCAAAAACAGGTGGAAAAAGATTTCTAGGGGAGTGCTACATATGTGTTTTTCTTTAAAAGGGGGGGGCGGGGGGTGGAGGGGGCAGCAGGCCAAATAAGTTTGTGAACTTCTGATCTCTAGTGTAATTGCATAGATATTCCGTTAGTTGCTTTTCATTAGTACAAATATTTTGCATTTGATGTTTCAACTTCCTGAAAAAGCTTTCTTTTGTGACAAATTGATGAAAGTGTTCTGAGTAAAGTAATGGGGTCTTTGATTTATTTTGGACTAATTTCTTTATAGGTAATTTGAAATTTGGTGCTTTAGTTGGTTAAAAATGTTTATTGAGTTAAATATGTTTTCTTTTCAGATATGAAGGAAGGCACCATTGGAGATATGGCAGTACTGGGAATCACAGAAAGTTTTCAAGTAAAACGACAAGTTCTTTTGAGTGCAGCTGAGGCTGCAGAGGTGATCCTGCGTGTGGACAACATCATTAAAGCAGCACCAAGGTAGTATAACCGTGTTCAAACCACTTCATCAGAGAATGGTAGTCAACCCCGAATTTTTAAAATAGGGCTTTGTGTATACCCACACATACACAATCATTGTATTTGGTAGAAAGTATACCTTTTTTGGCCCAAATTTAAAAAAAAAATACTATGCAGATTGTCCTAAATATGTAACCACTACTATCTATTTTAGCCAGAAAGGCATAGGGAGTGTGTGGTATTATTGACGCAGGTAGGATAGCTCTCAGGATTAAAGGGCACATGATGAGCCAGACTTTTTAAGAATTTTTAGAACTAGAGATCGTGTGCAGGAAGATACGGAAGGGGTAGTTTTTCTTTTCTCTTGCGCCCCCCCCCCCTTTTTGGTTTAGGGGTATGCCCTAGTTGTGCTTAGAGACTGAAGTTCATTTCTGCATGCACTCTTGGACCGTGAGGCTGAAACCAGACTTAGCATGCTCGCAGTCTGTTGAACACTCTGGCCTATGGTTTTCCCCTACAGGGTAAGGCAGCTCCAGTTATTTTCTGTCCTGGGTATAGTTTTTTTTAGTCAGTTGGTGATGATTCAGGGAGCTAGGGGGAGAGGTGGCTTAGGTTGGGAGATAGAGGTGAAAGTAAAGTGTTAACTATTTTGATGGTAGGACCAGCAGAATTGGAGTTGGGTTGGATATAAGGTATTAAAAAAAAGAAAATAAGGGTAATTTGGTAATTCAAAGCTTTATCAATATTAAAATGAGTTAACTAAAGTAGGCAAAAACACTGGCGGAGAAGATGGAGTTTCAGTTTTGCACATGTGAAGACATTTATTGGAAAGATAGTTAGCTATTCTGAGTCTAGGGGAAGGAAGAGCTGCAGTTAAAAACTTAGGAGTTGTCAGTCTGCATGTGATGCATAAAGTCACAAGGTTGCTTAAAGTCCTAAGAATAGAAAGGAAGAGAACAGTGCTTGCGAATTCCAGTAGTAAATTTGGAAAGATTCAGAGCACTGAACAAGGAACACTTAAACAGTAATGTCACTGTCATTGTTCTCCATTGTTCATCGGTTTCCTCGAGCAGGCCCAGTAATGTCTCCATTGTGACACTTGTTACTGTGTTTGGCATGACTAGTAAAATGGTGATGACTGGGACTGGAATGATAGTACAGTAGGTAGGGTGCTTCCCTTGAATGCAGCCAACTTAGGTTCAGTCCCTGGCATCCAGTATAGTCCTCTGAGCACTGCCAGCCCCCTAAGTGCAGAGCCAGGAGTAACTGCTGAGCATTGCTGGGTGTAGCCCCAAAATCAAAATAAAATGGTAATGAGGATAAAAAGAGTAGAAAATAATAATGATTAGATGTGCAGAAAGTATACAATTCCTTTTTGCGGGGGGGGGGGGGGGCAAGAGTGCCTTTATTGAACCATTTAGAAGAATATGAGGGGAGAGAAAGAAAGAAGTATGTGTTTGAGAGAGAAACAGTCTTCTCCAGAGTGGAAATAAGCAAGAAAAGAAACAGGACAAGCAAGTGAGATACATTCAAGGGGGAATACGGGCTTGAAGAGACAGAAAGTATACAGTTCTATAATTTGAGTTTTTTGTTTTGGGGACAAGAGTACACTACAGAAACTATCCATAAAAATTTTTACAGAAAGCCACACACTGTTAACCACATTCGAAGTATACATTAAAGTTTAATCATATCACTGTTCGAGGCTTAGGTATCAAATATGAATACTTTTTTATTTTTAATTTTTGAACTTCACAGAATTTACTTCCAGATCAGTACCCTGTGATAGTTGTGCTTGAACATTTTCTGCCCCTTCTTTCTTTTTTTGGGTCAGGAAAGTGACAATGCAGTTCCAGGGGATTGAACCTGGGCCTCCTGCATGCAAGTCATGTACTCCAATCCTTTGAGCCATCTCTGCCTGCTTAAGCTCGTTGCTTATCACTAAACATCTAACATATGAGGCCTTTCTGTTTGTTGGTCTTGATTTTTTTTTTTAGCAATTTAACCCTATTACATACTTACCTATTGAAATTTGTTTTCCTGTATTTAAAATAATGATTCAGAGATTAATATTTTAGAGTCCCCAATATCTTGTCACTTTAGTTAGGAGTAACAGTATAGGAGTTAGGGCACTTTGCATATGACTCTCTGCTGGGATTTTGTGAATCACTAATACCACATAGGGTTCCCAAAGTTCCTCCTTCCCCTCCCGTCCAAAAGAAAATTAACAGTGTGACTGAGTAAAATTTTCTATCATGTATATTAGTTGAAAATATCAGTGGGTGCTTTAATAGAGAATATATATTTGAGGTTGTTTAGATGAGAAGTTGGGGACTTCCCAAAAGGTAGGAGGAGGTAGAGGGGGTATTCTGTGGTTAAAGTGTCTTTGTAATACAGAAGTGAATTATTGGGCAGGAGAAATCTTACAGATGTGCTTGACTTGCACTCAATTGGCAGGGTTCGATCCCAACACTGCATCTCGCCTGGAGTAGTCCCAGGAGCAAGCCCTGAGCATAGATGTGGCCTCCCCACAATCATCCAAGAAATGAATTGGGTTAAAATGATTTTAATAAAAATAGGATTCTACCTAAATTTGTGTTTAATACAGACCTTTGTTTATGTTTTTCATAATCCTCATTGCTTTTTCTTAAGCGTATATTTTTTAATCCTTGCAGGAAGCGTGTTCCTGATCACCACCCCTGTTAGGCATTCTGTATGCGATTAAACTCTGGACCAGTCAAGAACAAGTTGTGTTTGAAAAGCTTGGCTCTCTTAAAGGAGACTGCAATCAAAGTTTCAAAGTGACTGTTATATCCTTAGTTTGAACATTTAACTGACCTTCTATTTTACCTAAGGTCTAATTTATTTGCTGTTTCATTTTCCATAAAATTCAGTTGGTTTAAAGTTCATTTCTCATACTACGCTTAAATAAAAATTTGAACAATTATTTGCTCTTATGTCTGTTGTGACGTGCCATTGTAACTGCAATGAAAGTGAATAATCTTATTCTCAGTGTTCATAGCTTAACTAATGACCTTACATAGTTAGGAAATAATGTGGTAAACATACCCTACTCTTAGGATTCTCAAGCATAAACCTCTAAGCATTAAATTTTGTTTAGTGAAAGTATCACAAATCTGGTGCTTGTTTTCATAGTCTTAAATACAACTTTTACATGAGAAAAAATCGTGATAGTTTCTGTTAAGTTTTGAAAGAAGCATTTTTAAGCTGAGATGAGCGAACTGAGTGTGGTACAGAAACCAGAAAAGCATTTAGAGCAGTGCAAGTATTGGCCTGCCTGTAAATATGGGGATGAGTGTGCTTCTCATCATCCTGCTTCACCTTGCATATATGTAGTTGCAAACCTGTGGTTTTTAGGTTAATTTCTCTAGTTTATTATGATTAATTTCCATGGACAGCCCGAGGCAGTGATGCTTTCTCTAGCCTTCTCCAGTGGAGCAGATTGGTATCTCTGCTTCTTGACTGGTGGGAGAAGGTAGGAGGCTACTTTGTCTCAGACCTGTGAAATATTGAAAGAACAGTTACCTGAGGATTCTCTCCATTCAAGAAGAGTGGGATATCTGCCCTAGTTTGTATGCTTTGTTTCTACATTGAGGGAAAAGTTACACATGAGGAAATATTTTGGACTAAGTTGGAGTTGGGGCTGGGGCAATAGCACAGCAGGTCGGGCGTTTGCCTTGCACGCGGCCGACCCAGGTTCGATTCCTTCGCCCTTCTCGGAGAGCCCGGCAAGCTACCAAGAGTATCCTTCCGGCAAGGCAGAGCCTGGCAAGCTCCCCCTGGTGTATTTGATGTGCCAAAAACAGTAACAAGTCTCACAATGGAGATGTTTGGTGTCCACTTGAGCAAATCGATGAACAGTGGGAGGATAGTGTTACAGTGACAGTGCTACAGTGGTTGTTTTTTACAGGTTGTTTCAAGCACCTTAAATGTTTTATTGCTTACCCGGAAATGGTTAGACTTAATTGGGCTTTTAGCAAGTGAATGCTACAGAGAATATAGTTCGGTAGTATAAATATATATGGATGTTTAAGAAATAAAAGGAGAAAGTTTAACAGGAATTCTCACTGGGTTCCTCTGCCTTATGGAGAGACCAAAATTCAAAATTTCATTATAGGATTTTCGTTTTTTTTTTTTTTTTTTTCCTTTTTGAGTCACACCCAGCCATGCTCAGAAGTTACCGTCTGGCTCTGCACTCAAGACTGGCAGTGCTTGGGGGACCATATGGGATGCCGGAGATTGAACTTGGGTTGGCCGTGTGCAAGGCAAACACCCTACCTGCTGTACTATCACTCCAGCCCCAGTAAAAAGCTCATGAGTCTTGGACCAGCCACTGGTGGTGAGTGGAGGAGGCCAAAGTGACCCAGCCCTTAATGGGATTACAAAGGGCTTTCTTGGTGAGGCTGGTTTTCTTGCAAAGAAGTCATTCTTACAAAGACAACTTGCCTTTGGGAGAAACTACCATAAATTTTTTCTTCATGGCCATTTTGACGGTCCTTACTGATAGAGATGCCCCAAACATCCGAGAGTAACCTTTATCCTTCCCAGTAGGTCTCCAGATGATAGTGGGTTGGTTCTCTTGATTTTCAAATAGTTCAGTGCATTAAATATTAGAATTTGTGTGTAAATACCATTTAATGATTAATACATTTGACAGTCTAAACAGGTTTCAGATGAAGATGGGAAAGTCTCAGTGGGAAGAGATTGTGGCATACAGCTTTGGTTTAGCAAGAAATAATTGTAATAAGAATAAACATTGTGATGTTTTAGAAATCAAACTATTGACTTTAGGTGCTTTTTTGACAAAGTACTTCTAAATCTCAGCATAATATTTTCAGTAATGATGTCACTGTTCTTGCTAAGGAGACAAGCATTTAAAATTATGTCCTTAAGTCACCCAGTGATGGCCGTTTCTTGAGTTTTGTATTAAGATGTGTATTCAAGGGAAGAAAAAAACAAAACTTACATATTTATAAAATGATTAAAAAAAGCATAGACCATCAAAGCACCCTATTATCTTCAAAAAAGAGGGCAGACTAAAAACTATAGATGTAGAAACTTCCTATTTGGAGCACAATCCAATTCATATTTTCAAATGCTTGTTTCAAGTGAACAAATGTCTCACCTGTACCTTTAATACGTTTCAGACATGTTTCTTTCCATCGACTGAAGAATCAGGATCTCTGTTTCAGGGAGGCAGTGTAGATTCAACTAGGGTAAATTTTAGTAATAAAATCACATTACCAAAGGAAGATGCTATTTTCTAGATGATTTCTAGTGTCACCAGTTGGTAGGACAGTTGGAAGTGAACCTTGATTCAGATCTTTTAGGGAAAACAACCTAAATCATGAACATTTAAGTCCCTTTAAGGTAACTTGATTAGCATCAGGATGCACTCTCCCATTAAGGGTCTGCTCAGTGGTTTCTGAACTGCAAGGAAAGAGTTCTTGAGCCTGCGCAGGTTTTTTTCTCTGAGTCTTATTAAATGGCCACATAAAACTACTTCTTAAGTGACCTGGGTTTTCATACCATTTTGGTCATATGGTAAGAAAGTATATTTTGCAAAGGGCTAGAGTCAGGTTTCCCAGAACTTTTAAGAGCTGTAACAAACACAAATACCTTATTGAGGAGCTCATGAGTGTTGGACCAGCAACTGGTGATGAGTGGAGAAGGCCAAAGTGACCCCCAAAGTGACCAAGCCCTTAATGGGAAAGGGCCTTCTTGGTGAGGCTGGTTTTCTTGCAAAGAAGTCATTCTTACAAAGACAACTTGCCTTTGGGAGAAACTACCATAAATTTTTCTTCATGGCCATTTCACTTGACAGTCCCTACTGACAGAGACGCCCCAAATATCCAAGAACAACCTTTATACTTCCCAATAGGTCTCCAGAAGATAACAGGTTGGTTCTCTTGACGTACAGCTGAAGATCAGGAGCTGGGAGGAGATGGTAGTGGCCGCGGCAGGGTGCGTGCTTGGGCGTCCCGATTTTTCTCCTTGACCAATGCAGAGCGCTTGGCTTTTCTGGGATCAGGCTCTGGTGTTTCCTCTGCCCATTTGCCCACACGGCGCACACCTTTAGCCACCTTGGGTGCATTTTTACAAGGATTGTGGTCATAGATGACCAGCTTCAGACTTGACAGATGGGCCAGGCTGGGGAAGTAATGAATGCTATTCCGGTCCACATCGATGACTTCCAGGAAGGGCATGTGAAGCAGCACAGGGGGGAAATCAGTCAGCAGGTTTCCTGAGAGCCAAATGGTCCTCAGCTCCCTGAGGCGCCGGAGCTGGCCTGGCAGCAGGCGCAGGGCATTGGAGCCCGCGTGCAGAGTCTTAAGGAGGCTCAGCTCACAAACAACCTCTGGCAGCTGGGTGAGGCAGTTGGCCTCCACCCATAGGGCCTGCAGGTTCTGGAGCATGCTCAGCTCTTGGGGGAGGTCGCAGAGTTTGTTGTTGCCCAGGTAGAGGATGCAGAGCTGCTTCAAAGTACAGACCACCTGGGGGAGTGCCTTGAAGTTGTTGAAGTCCAGGGCTAGGATCTGCAGGTTCTGCAGCCTCCCCAGCTCCCGAGGCAGGCTGTTGAGGTGATTGTCACTCAGGTAGAGCTTGACCAGTTCCTGGAAAGAGCACACGTGTGCAGGGAAGCGGCGGAGCTGGTGTCCACTCAGGTCCACCATCTTGTCCGAGGGCATCTCCCGGAGGTCTCCCACCACGTAGTTCTGGCAGCGTTCTGCAGGGATGAAGGCCAGGATGGTCTTGAGGATATTCCCCATGGAGGGCCAGAGACATGGTCAGCCCCAGCCTGCTGACCAGGAGGCCACTGACTGCACGGAGGCCTTACCCGCCTTCCCAGTTATAACCACGAGTTGGTGTGACAAAAGCCAGTCACTTCAACAGAGAACAGTGCCCCTGGCAGCAACTTGAGTGTTGGGTGACAGGCCCAACAGACAGTGTCCAGGCCAGCTCTGACTCACGTACTTGCTTTAAATCACCTAAGCCCACTCCTTTTTATCTACGAATTTTTTTTCAGGCCGAAAATAGCTTCATGGTTCTTCCATTCCCCTGTGCGCCCCCTTGCCCTCTGTCCCACCCCCCCGCTCCAGTCTAGTGATAAAACTCTGAATCATTTAAATGGATGTCCTTTAGACTTTTTACTGCAGGTAACCAATTTGTTAAAATTTTGCTTTTTAATCACAACATGGACATTATGTAATTGCAGGTATATAATTTTCCATATATGCTTAGTTTTTCTTGTGTACAGATGCATGATAACTTTAATGTGACTTCATGATTAATTTAGAAAATGCCCACAGGGCTGCTACTGTGCACAGGGTTGTTACTGGGCCAAGGATAGGCATTCATTCTCCCCCATCAAATCTGAACAAATTGGTTTTCTTCTTAATGCTTACTGTGGAGAAATTTTCTACACTTGAAACTTTTGTCTCTGTCATAGACAAGACCAAAAAGAGAAAAGATGAGGAGAGCCAGACTGCTGAAGTTGAAGTGCTGAAGTGTCTTGTGTGGAGGTGTTGGATGTGTTCATAGGCTGTCACGCTGCGTTTCCCTCCTCAGTGTCGAGTTGTCGCTTGAAGCGGCTGTGCAGCCAAGACACAGTTTTCTGGTGCTCCTCTGGGCAGGGCGTCTGATTCTGGCTCATGGAATGTGGCTAGAAGTGATAAGTGTCACCACTAGGTCTGGCTCATTTTAAACAAACCTTGTCTATCCACACACACTGTTGGCTCATTCCTGGCTGGACACTGATACGTGGTGAATCTGGAGGCCACCAAGAGTGTGGAAGTCACATGGAAGTTGGCAGGGTCTTGGGCATTCTGGACCCCTGAGTCTGGTTTAGAACGACCTCCCCAGATCACACATTCTCTCCCACCAGCTTAAGGAGATCAGGGGGCTTGTTTTTATATCTTAATAGAACAGTTGTTAAAAATATGGAGGTAAAACTACACATACACTGATGTGCGAAGGTAATCATAAATAATGGAGGAGGAATATAAGAATAGTTTTTATGAGCCTGTCCATGAAAAAATATAAAAAGTAATTATAAGAAACTACTCTGGAGAATATTAGGAGGTTTAGAGTGAAAGGAATGCTGACTTCCATCGAGAACGTTAGAACTGCTGACATTTTAAAATATATATATTTTTAACTATAAACATACTACTTTTAAGTTTAAAACTCTAGCTCAGGGCCTGGAGAAAGTATAGCGAGTAAGGTGCTTGCCCTGCAGGCTCCCAGCCTGTCTGATCCCTGGCACTCAGAGCCTGCCAGGAGTGATTCCTGAGCACAGAGCCAGGAGTAAACACTGAGCATTGATGGGTAGCACTGCACTGTGGCACTGTCCTCCCGTTGTTCATCCATTTGCTCGAGCGGGCACCAGTAACATCTCCATTGTGAGACTTGTTACTGTTTTTGGCATATCGAATACGCCACAGGGAGCTTGCCAGGCTCGGCCATGCAGGTGGGATACTCAGTAGCTTGCCGGGCTGTCTGAGAGGGACAGAGGAATTGAACCCGGATTGGCTGTGTGCAAGGCGAACACCCTACCCACTGTGTTATCATTCTAGAGCATTGCTGGATGTTGCCCCCAAACTAAGAAAACAAAACTAGTTCAGTACTAGAGAGAGATTGTACAGAAGTTAAGGTACGTTCCTTTCATGTGGCAGGCCCTGGTTTGGTTGGTCACTGCCAAGAGTGATTCCTGAGCACCACTGGGTGTGATCGCACCTCAAACAAATCACACTTAGTTCAACAAGAACTGGTCTAAATAACTGAGCTGATATGGTGGCGGGGAGCCCGGGACAGTGGCAGTGGTGGACACTGGAGAGTGTGGTATTGGAACACTTTATTCATGAAGTTTCACTGTATTGTAAATCATAGTGCCCCAAAATTTTTAAGATACAATTGGAAAACACAAACTCTAGTTCATTACCCAGCTGCTGTCTGGAGAGCGTGTCAAGGTTTTGGGGGAAGCTTGGCACACATTTTACTCCCTTCACTGTCTTACTGCTAAATTGCTTACTATAGACTGAACGGAGGAATGGAGCATTCCAGGAGTGGCCCTTCACTCGAGCTACCTGCAGATGCGGTCTCTCCAGCTCACCATAGTGACGCCTGAAGGCAGTGTCCTGGGATTTTCTACTCATCAAATGTCAAGAGCTCTTATCTAGAGTTCTCTCTTTGCTCTGCTGATTTCTACTATTAGAACTAGTGTCTCAATAGGTACTGTGCTCTGCCTATATTTAGCATGCTGACCACAAATAGTCTGGAAGCCACTGCCCTGAGGTCCTAGGAGTTGTGATAATGGCTGCTCTTTATGAGGAATCTGCTGTATGCTGAGCACTGTGCTAGGTGCATTACATATTTCTGTCTCTTATATCTCCAGCTATATATATATATATATGTGTGTGTGTATGTATACATATATATATATATATATATATATATATATATATATTAGGGCTTACTCCTGAATCTGTGCTCGGGAGTTACTCCTAGCATCTCTCTGGGGATCATGTATGGTATCAGGTATTGAATCAGAGTTGGCTATGTGTAAGACAAGTGTCTTACCTCCTATTATCTCTCTGCTTCCAGATAATGTTTACCTCCAGTTTTCAGTTAAGAAACTGAGACTCAGGTTTTATCAAGTAATCTAATTTTTTATTGAGCACTAAATTCTAGGTGCAGGGAATCTGGTGACTATTTAAAAAAAACCCAGGATATAACTCACCAATAGAGTTTACACCTTGCATTTGTAAGGTTCTGGGTTTGATTTTTGGCACGGAAAAGAAAGGGTTGGAGGGCAGGAAGCAGCTCAGTAGATTAAGTGCTCACCTTGCAAGCATGAGGTCCAAGTTAGATCCTTTGTGCAGCTGCATGCATCAGTTCCAGGAAACTGCTGTCTGTGATGCACCTGATGCTGCAAGTGATTTCTGGCCACACTGCAGCCACGTATGTGAGCAAAGCAATTACTGAAGTCATGCAAGCACGATGGCCAGGAGTATGGATGCCCCTCCCTTATCCAGTGAAGACTGCAACGGATGTACAACTCCCTACTGAACACTGTAGTCAAATGAGTGAGCACCACTCAGGCCTGGGATCCCCACCAAAAATTCTCTAAGACCTGATTCAGTGCAAGAGCCTCAGAATATGGTGCTGCTCAGGCCCTGAGGTGCTGGGAATTATCAGGGTTACCTTGGTGGTGCTAAGGAACTCCAGGGCTGTACCCAGCAATGCTTAAGGAATACGGGGTGCTGGGTATTGAGTGGCTTGAACACACACGTGCAGTCTATCTCTCAGCCCTTTTCTGTGCTTTCTCACATTGCTGCACTGTTCCATGGAAGAGTAAGGTCTGTCCACAAGAAGTGACTGAAGGGTGACCTGGCATGAGAGATCCCTGTTAGAAGGAGGAGAACCCACATTATAGGACCAATGATGTCGATACCTCGGAATGTCTCCCAGAACCTAGAATAGAACTTGATAAATGTCTGAATTGCTGGAAGGAATGAATGGAGGGGTTTTATTTAAGGGTGTGGTGCTGAGGATCAGCCCAGGTCCTCCCCATGCAAGGCTGCAACCCTGAGCTGCATCACTGACCCAAAAAGAATATCTGATGAGAAACCAGGTTCCAAAAAGAGCCGAGATCACTGGGAAGCCCCAGATGGGGTAGGTGCCGCATCCCGCCTCTCCCAGATGGAACCCCGGTGACCAGAAGCCTCTACAAGCATAGCTCGAGTATGCGGGAACTAGGACTTTTCCTCCAAACTGCGCGGCCACTTGTGCGGCCGCGCGACATCTCCATATATACAGAAGTGATCAATGGGAAGTAAATCACCCAACGTTTCTCCCTGAAAATCAGAGTTAAGCTTGGAGCAGAAAAGTGAATGGACTATGCATTAATCCAGGCCATCATGTCTGCCCAGAGGGCAAAGGGTGTTGCCCCATTCGCCCTCTCCTCTCTGGCTGCATGGGAGCCTTGTTGGCAGCAGGTATGAGCCAGGGGTGTGGGGGTGACTAAAACCTCATGGGAAGGGGGGTGTTCCGGTCCGTCCTTCATGCCCTACCGAGGTCACCAGTTGATCCCCACGAGCGGCTCTCCAGCACGGCCACGGCCCCAGAAGCACAAGGACTTAATGAAGAACCCAGCAGCTTGGAGCAGAAAAGTGAACAGACTATGTGTTAATCCAGGCTATCATGTCTGCCCGGAGGGGAAAGGGTGTTGCTCCCTTCTGCCCTCCCCCCTCTGGAAGGAAAGATGGCGGCCGCATGGGAGCTTTGTGGCGAGCAGGTATGACCCGGGGGTGTGGGGGTGACTAAAACCTCATGGGAAGGGGGGTGTTCTGGTCCGTCCTTCACGCCCTACCAAGGTCACCAGTTGCCCCCCACAAGCGGCTCTCCGGCACGGCCACGACTCCAGAGCACAGAAACCAATCTCTTAATTATCTGACTTTCAGTAGAAATACTTCCAGGGTTAATAAGTAAAATAGCGGAAATCTAAAACCAACATTTAATTCTTGAACCCAGCTGTAGAAAGCAAATCATTTCACAATGCTTTTTCAGCATGTCTGATTGGGGGGGGGGGGGGGTTAGGTAAAGGTAAAGGCCCTCCCGTTGATCGTCGATTTGCTCGAGCGGGCCCAGTAACATCTCCATTGGAGACTTTGTTGTTACTGTGTCTGGCATATCGAATACTCTCGGTAGCTTGCCGGGCTCTCCGAGAGGGGCGGAGGAATCGAACTCGGGTCGGCCATGTTGGCCGCTTGTAAGGCGAACGCCCTACCCGCTGTGCTATCGCTCCAGCCTGGG